AGCTTCCAAAGCTCTACAAAATGACAAATAATTTTGGTGTAAGTGCACATATGATACAATAATTAAAAAAACCAAACTTATGCGTCTATGTGCTTTCTAATATCCAAATCATTTGGTTTCTTGTGTAATGAAGACAAGAGAATCACAACAAATTGCCGAGAAACAATGATTATGAGCTGCCAATGACCCCTGCACGTTGAAATAATATTAGTAAAATTTCAATTTTACATAAATGTGCATTAATTTATAAGATGTATACTTAGTGATGCAAGTAAGGTGCTAAGTAGACTTCTTTGCCCCCATTTTGAAATGTCTCTATTAAGTACGTTTGCACCTCTTCAGCTTTATTCCCAACGGACTGAATGGCAATAGGGTCAACAAATCCATAGATAAAGGCAATCTTCCTCTCAAGGTACACTGTTTTCCTTCCATGTTGTAGTTTATGTGTCTTCTTCACATATCGGGCAAGCTTTATGTCCCTTTGTGCTGTAGCCACTCAAATTACCATATGCTGGAAAGTCATTAATTGTACAAAATAACATTGCACGCAACTTGAATAAGTCACCTATGTACCCATCAAACACATCAACACCTTCCTCCCACAACATCTTCAACTCTTCAACCAATGGGCTTAAAAAAACATCAATGTCATTTCCAGGTTGTCTGGGACCCGAGATCATCAAATATAGCATCAAGTACTTACGTTTCATACACAACCACAGAGGTAAGTTGTAAATAACTAACACCACGGGCCATGAACTATGTTTACTGCTTAAATTTCCATATGGATTCATTCCATCTGTAGCAAGTCCAAACCTAATGTTTCTTGGATCATTATCAAAATTCTGGAAGATGGAATCAATTTTTTTCCATTGCAATCCATCTGCCAGATGCCTCAACTGACCATCTTTAATACGACTATCTGCATGCCATCTAGTGAGCTTTGCATCATTTCCATTAGTGAATAATCGTTTCAACCTTGGAACAATGGGAATATACCATAACACTTTTTTCGGGGTACCATTCATTACATCATTGTCAGAATCACCATCCTTCTTCTTGTATTGTGATTCCCCGCATTGTGGACATTCGTGAAAGTTCTCAAATTCTTTCCTGTACAACACACAATCATTCGGACATGCATGAATTTTTTTGTACTTCATACCCATTGGACACAATATCTTCTTAGCATCATAATTGCGGGTTGACAATGTGTTACCTTCAGGGAGCATGTCACTCAACAACTCAAGCAATTCTGTGAAACTTTTATCAGTCCACCAATTCTTTGCCTTCACATTGCACAATTTTAGTACCACCGACAATCGTGTGAACTTAGTATAATTTGTATACAAAGGCTTTTTTGCATCATTGGACAACTTCTCGTACACATGTGTATGTTGGAAGGCATATTGTCCAAGCTCACGAATCATTTCCTCCAGCTGATCATCCATCTCTAGATCAACTTCTTCTTTGTCTTCTACACTTGGCATGTTTAATAATTCACCATGCCATGTCCACTTTATGTAACTCTTTAGGAAACCATCACAAAGAACATGTTCCCGAATAACTTCAGTCGGTAATCTTCGCTCATTCAAGCAATTAACACACGGGCAATAGAATCTTCCATCATTATCCGGAACATTCATCTTAGCAAATTCAAGGAATTGTTCTACTCTACTCTCATATTCATTTGTTGTTCGTCTATAATTGATCCAACTCCGATCCATTGTTACCTTCTATCACATACACAACATATAAGTATAGTTTGAGGATGATAACATCCAACATGTTTTGCTGAAATTGCGATGTCACGTGATTGGATATTTTAATCTTTCAATAGGAAGTTCTGTCCTACAATGGATCATTTCATGACTGACTCCAATCAAGGCTCACTGTATTGTCTCACATTAGGGTGAGCATAAGTGATGATAGTTTTCACTTAAAATGAAATAACTACATTATAATACAAATCTAATTTTTAAAATCAAAATCAAGAAAGAATGCCTACAGAAACACATTCAAATGACTTAACTACTTACAATACGTCTCTAAATTAGTTAAAGGCACTCGTGATCTTTCCATCTCTATACATACCAGATTCAAAACTGTAAACTTACAATGGCTAAAGCAAACACGAAAACTTACCTCTTGAAGACCTACAGAGGTGGCAGGTGGCGTGACGTGCAGAGCTGGGTGGGGAGAAACGTACACAGGCAACGGGCACCAACGACAGTGACAACAGGAGCAGCAGACGGCACGACGTACAAAGCTGGCAGGTGGCGTGACGAATAAAGCTGGGTGGGGAGAAGCTTACACAGGCGATGACGTTCGTAGTAGAGACAGAGAGAACGGGAAGCTCTACTATGGGTGAAGTGATGAAATGGAGCGTTGCGGCAGGTGTAAAACAGAAGATACTATGTCGGTTGCCCTAACACCCGTCATCAAATACACTTTTCATGTCGGTTAAAATTTACCCGACATAGAAAGTGAACTTTCCCACTTACCATGTCAGTTACCTATTACCTGACATAAAAAGTTTATGATTTTATTACAAAATTGCCACCGCACGCTACATACTATGACGGGTGGACTACGACCGTGATAAAAACTCATCATAGAATCCTATTTTTCCAGTACTGAATCCCAAAACATATTTTTATTAGATATAAGATAAATATATACAAGTGAGATATAGTCAATTAAACCATTTTTGTTAAACTAAATTCATATAAATTTTGAAAATATATTTCTTATATTACTTTTGTGCCCTTATGTAAGTTAATCAAAATATTTGATAGTAATTATAAAAATAACTTATCATTGACTATGTAAAAATATCCATTTCAATGAATATTTTCAAAACTTGATAAATTTTATTAGATTTAAGAGAATAAAATATAATTTTTAAGTTCAAATTTTGCACAATTAAGTAATAATATATATTTCAAATTTGTTCTATCATGTAATAGTTCTAATATTCACTTCTTTACCATCATTATATCAATCATTCTAAAATAATATAAAAATATTACGAAGAAAACGTATATTTAGAATAATACTTTTAAAATTAAACCAATCATCAAACCGTAAAGACATGAGTTTACTATTTAAAAATTTAATCGAGGTCTAATGGAATTTAATAAAATAATATTTTTGTAATATAAAAATATATAATAAGTTTAATAGGAATAATGTTTTTTATAAAAAAAAATAAAAAAAATAAAGATGACTGACATTGTTATAGTAAATTACAATGAAAGTTATAAATATAAAATATATTAGAGTGAGATGAATAATTGTTAAAATAAAATTAAAAAATATAATAAAATAATTATTGTTTAAATAATTAATATGAGATAAAAATAAATAAATATGAGATAAAATATTTGATTGAATAATTATTGAATAATTGTCACATTAAATATCCTTTAAAATATATATATATATATATATATATATATATATATATATAATAAAATATTTTAGAACAATAAAAATAATCAATATTTCATTAATAAATATGTAATTAAGTAAAAGAGAAAATAAAAACATTTAAAAATGATTAATATATTTTAATTTATTTGATTGCCACATTTAAATTTAATTAGAAAGAGATTTACAATATTTTAAATTTAAATAATTTGAAACAAATATTTTAATTATATTATCACATTAAGAACATTAAATGTTATTTTAGGCATAAGCATATAAAATATTATTTTTAATAGAATTTCTTAATGTTTTTGTTACTAACATTATCAATGGTTCCATTTGATGGAGTAAAATATAATGTATTAAAAATATTAATATAAATATCATTAATTTGATAATAATTAGAATCATCATATTCACATTCATAAGCAAAATGTGAATACTTTAATAAAATAATTTTAGCGTTAAAATAAAATATTAATGATCTTTATCATCACAATAATAATTTCATGTTATTTGTTATTATTATTTTTTTTATCTTACTTTTGATGATGTTTTCTAAAAAAATTATTTATAATAATATTACTATTATAATAATTAATACAATTACAATTTTGTTTCATATTCAATTCCACGTAACTACAAAAATATGAATAAAATATTTTCATAATCTTGGGAATAGAACATAACACTAAAATAATTTTCTTATTCACTTTTGAGAATGAAATTTTTTTAGGAACAGACTATAATAATAATAAAAAATTTATATTTATTTTTGAGAATGAAACAGACAAATCTTTTGAATCTCGTGAGTTAATTTTGTTCATAAATTTCAAATAATAAATAATGTGACACGATATCACTAAAAATTTAGAATATTAAATTAATAATAACCCTATTATATATTCAAAGGATATAACACATAATATATATAAATAAAGAGATAATTACTTAATGGAATATGCTATAATCATGGTACTGATAACATGTAATGAAATAAGATCTCCTGACGTAGAGAAAAAGAAAAAGAAAATTAGATATTCAGAGTAACAGAAAACTTAACAAATTGTATTTTTTACATTTTTTTTAATTTCATCATGTTCATTTAAATAAAGAACTAATTTAATGATTATGATTAAAAGAGTAAATTCTTAATATTTAATTTAATTGAATTGACTTCCACTAAAAATGGAAGATGAGAAGAAAAAACAAGTGAAAATTGAAAATACTTTTTAAAATTGAGAAATTTGATTTTATAAATAAAAATTCAAATGAAATAAAATAAATAATGTAAAAGATGTAATTAATTTTTTGATAAACCATTGACAAAATTATTTATATTTTTCTAGAAATAAACTGATGAAAAATAAAACTGAAATGCGAAATACGTGAATCGTTTGGATATTCAACTCTCAAACAAACACGTGCATCATAAGCCAAAGCAATTTCTCTCATCGTTCAAACCTTCAATTCAACTCCGATCCGCAAATTCATTGGCATATTCAATCCTTTCACTTTCTTCAATCATTCAAACTCTCCCATCAACGAAGAACCATCGACATACCACCATGCCAACAGCTTCCGAACACACTGCACGCAATCGTTTGGCCACCCTTGCAGCTCACTTACTTCCTTCCGACGCTGCCGCCTCCGCGATCCACCCCCTCCACCTCTCCGCCGCCGCAGGAGCCTCTCCGTCGGCGAACCTCAAGGGAACCCTCACAATCGTCGATGAGAGGACCGGCAAAACGTACCAGATCGACGTCTCCCCAGAAGGCACCGTCAGAGCCTCTGACTTCAAGAAGGTACTGTTGATGCTGATTCATCCTCCTTTTTCCGATTTTGTGAAGTGGGGTTTCGTCAAAAATTTTCCTTTTGTCTTCTATGAATCGTTTTGGAGTTGGGGTTGGGGTTGGTTCCACTTTTTAAATAGCCTTTGTGTTGTGTTTTGATGTTGATGTGCTTCTTAGAAGAAAGTTTTGTTCTGTCGATATGTTTCGTTGTGATCTTCAATCGGAAGGGGTTATAATTTGGTGAATTGGGTTATGCTCAATTTTGCTTCTTTGTTGGGGGTTAATCAACTTTTTTGTCTTTGAAAGGGGTAAGCCTGGCAGTTAGGTTCTAAAACTATGAAAATTCCAAACAAATCCTCAAAAATACAAGCCGTTCCATCTAAGTCTCCAAATTTAACTAATTACTAACATTTTGGTCTGTGAACTGAATCACTTTAAGCTAAACACTATCGGTAACAGCAGGAGAAACTTGATTGACGTATTACAGTTCCAACTTCCTAGGAATTTTTTGAATTTCCTAGTTTCAGAAACGAAGGTAAGGTAACAATACCTAACAATTTAAAGGATAAACTACGTGTTTTTTGTGTCGCTTGAATTGTTTGAAATGAGTGAATCACCAATTTAGTTTAGGGTCGGAGGATTTGGTCACTGACATCAAAGTAGGCAAAATAATTTATGAAATTAAAATTGGCATACAATTTACACTTTTTATTAGCTGGTGTCGTTTAACGTTGTGCAGAAGTCTTAATTGGCACGGAAAATGCCTGTATGGCATCCAACTAAGCACATACATACCTGCCACTTTGGAGGGATACATTTAACTGAATTTGGTTGAATAATTTTTTACGAAATTAAACAAAAATTCTCTTTGTCTTCTCCGTTTAACTACCACTGTTTTCAGCTTCATTTCACAGTTCACACCATTAACATTTTCCTATACAGAGAGAGCTCAGAAAAAATGTATCTAGAACATTTCCAATTCAGTACTTTGTGGAGAGTGAGGATTATAGTGACCTTATCTGTGAACAAGAAGCAGCAAAACAAGGAGCAAGCAATCGCTTATGCATTGACTGAACTGGAACCTTTGATGTCTTCCACGAACATAAAGCCCAATAGCATAAGCTATGGCCAATTTCAACCTGCACCCCTGCTTCGGGGTTCCCCTGTGAAATTCTTGATTAGGTTTTATGTTTTTACAAGTAAACTTGGCATATTCGATCATAAATTTAGGTTTTTCTGATGTGGAACTATTTGTTTCCTCCTTGTTTTCTTGTTCTCATAGGCCAGATGGATTAATCCTCGCACTCAACTGCTTACCACAATGAAAGTTATTTTTTATTCCTTATATTATGCCTTCAGAATTGGAAATTTTGAATCAATGTTTTTCCCAAGCTCTCATGTTCGAAGACAAGTAGAGCGGTGTGAATGTTGGAGACAAGGTGAAAAGTGGTTTTTAAATAGAGAAGACAAAAGAGACGCAAGGCTGGTCCAACAGTGAGCGGGACCGAATATGAAATTTGAACTAAATGAGAGAGCTGTATGTTGCGTCTTTTTGTCAACATATGTGACGCTTTTGCTTTAAAAAACTATTAGCAAAATATTTTTTTTGTTGGTAAGCCTAGGGTTCGTGAGAAGGGGTCGATTTTGTCAAAATGGTTTATCCAATTTTCAGTCAATTTGGTCCCTCGTACGAGACATGCACTTTTGGATGTCATGCTAACACCTATTGTCCAAATCAGCCTTTCTATCTATTTTACATGGTACCAACTAATGGATGGACTAAATTGAATGGCAATTTACAGTTTCAGAGGTTATTTTGCCTTTTTGATAATGTCAGGGACCAAATTACCTGATTGCTTTAATTTCAAGGATCAAATTGGGGATTCACTCATTTGGAATTCGGGTCTCTCTTTTGTAATTGAGAACATGTAAAGCGACCAAACAGTAAAAACCAGAATTTTTATTTTCATTGATTCTTATGCAAGCTTTGGAAAATAGGAAATAAAATGGAAACAAGGTGACATTTTTTAATTAAAAGTCAAAGCTAAAAATTAAAGGTTTTCAATCCTAACAACTCGAATGGTAAGGTATTTTTCTTTTGTAAGTATTTTATTCAGCTTTTACAGTGACACGATGCAACTGTAGATATGTTGCTTTTTAATTAATACTAATGATGATTATGTATCTTAATATTTAGTATTATATTATATTGTTTTCTACTTTTTGATCTGTAGATATCAACTGGGAAAAATGACAAGGGACTCAAGCTTTATGATCCTGGCTATTTGAACACTGCTCCAGTCATCTCAAGGATTTCTTACATTGATGGTGATGCGGGAATCCTTAGATATAGAGGATATCCAATTGAGGAGTTGGCGGAGAAAAGCACCTTTATGGAAGTGTCATATCTGATAAGTGAGTATTGTTTGATAATTTTCTTGCATGTGCATGGGACTTTTGTGGCCATCTATTATGATAACAAGTTAATGGATTTTTTTTTTCACTGACGATTAGCTGAGATACAAATTTTATATCAGCAAAGATGCATAGGTGTAGGGTCCTTATTAATAAATTCACGCTTCAATTTATGAATTATGTCCATGTTTTTCGTGTTTATTAACTCTACCTTACTCTGTCATTTTAGTGTATGGTAATTTGCCTTCTGAAAGTCAGTTAGCGGAATGGGAGTTCAACATATCTCAGCATTCAGCTGTACCGCAAGGAGTTTTGGTAAGCTTTTCTCTAACAATTGACTTACTACTGGTTTAAGGACCCAAATTTTTATCTGGTAACCTTCTAGTTTCAGTCAGTAACCACTTTTAGATTTATAAACAAATCACATCTGCTGAATTATTACTTTAAATTTAATATGCCAATTGTATTTTTATATTGTCAAAAAACTGTATTGGTTAGAATTTATAATCAGCAAATGATTCAAAGCTAAATTAATCAATCAGAGTATAATAAGCAGTAAATTCATGCACATATACATACTCTTCATATAGTTCATAACTCTTACTTTAGTCTTGTATGTCCCTATTGTTTTTTCTCTTGAAGATGCATATTAGAAATGCTTTTAAGGAGAAAGTTGAGAATCATACTAAGCACTTTGGGTATCTCACTTAATTATTAGGGGTGGTTCATGTATCAGTATTATTCTTGTTCACTTTTTATGTTAGAAATATTCCTCTTTTACCAGATTGGTTTGTGTTCTAAGGTTTATGCCTGTGAATTTTTTGTGCAATCACACTACATAGTTCTTTTGTCGTGATTATTTAAAGGAGAGTAATCAAAATGTTAATTTCTTTTTGAGAAGTACAAGTGTATTAAGCTAACAGCAGCAGTATACATTGTTTTGTAGGATATGATACAAGCAATGCCTCATGATGCACATCCAATGGGTATGCTTGTTAATGCCATGAGCGCTTTGTCTGTTTATCATCCTGATGCAAATCCTGCCCTCAAAGTAAGGAACACAAACTTTGGCCAAGTTCAAGTTACTGAACTTTTGATCTGCTTAGCATTGATTCATAAATGATGATAATATAATATGGATTTTTGCAAACCTTACTTTTTCTATGGAAATATGTTAATTTTATTTGTTGGAACTTTTTTTTTTTTTTTTTTTTTAAATTTCTACTCTTGCAAATCTTTTAGCTTGTTTCATTTGACTTTTTGAGTGTTAAATAGAGCAATGAACTTTGCTTCTTTAGAGATTAAAAGGATTTATGTAGGTAAGGAGGAAGAGAGAGAATAGAGATTTTGAAGAATATTCTCATTTATATAATGATATGATGTGTTGGATGTGAGACAAAAACAAAGATCTATATATACTTATACAAGACTCCTAATCCTAATGAAATGAGTTAACAAATTGTAGAATTTAAGGAAATATGGAAGCTATTCCTTAGAAATTATCAAAGATACTCCAAACTATTCTAAATATATAACCCCCTCTAGATATTCTGACAGACTCTAAACATTATGGGAGTCCCTGAAGATTTCAGATGGCTACAAAAACGAATCTCTGAACTCTTAGTTTTAAATAAAAACTCTGGGGAGTTTATAAATTAATGTTATCTTGTTGTAGTTACTGAAGTGATGGTCTGAGTTGGTAGCTATTGCCTAAGATGATTGCACTACTTAAGTGTATAATGAGAATGTTGAAAGAATTAATGGTTGAGTTCAAGAGGGGGGGTGAATTGAACTTTAGAAAACTTTTTCGCAAAACTTACTTTCTCTTGGAAGAATGAATTATCTTTATTTAATTCTTGTGTAGGTAGGTTTGATTTTAATCACAGCAAGTATATAGACAAGAAATAAAAGAGATGAAAGAAGAAATTCAACACAACAATTTATACTGGTTCACTCTTTACCAGAGCTACATCCAGTTCTTGACAAATCTGCCAAGTTCCACTAATACCAAGTGAAAATTACAACCAGTAGATACTCACCAATCTACCCCAAGAACTATCTTACAAACCCACAAGATAGACTCTTGAAACCTCCCAATAACCAAATCCGATTCATCGTAACCAGTGTAGATCAAAAACCAATCTACACAACCACACTTTACACAAGAGTATGAAAAGAAAAAACCCGGATCGAAGCTTTATCGAGTACAATTGTCCGAAGCAATTCTAACTCAGCAGTTTCTCTCTTTGATTAACAACAATCTTGATCAAAGCACCTTATGATATGAAAAGATTCTAAATGCTCAAAGAAAGTCACGGATATGATTGCTCAAAGATTGCTTTCAAATGTTTTCTCAAATTGTATGTTTCAAAAGATAGATCAAATATGTATTTATAGAGTAAAAGAGAGTACCGAACGTTTGATCTGTTAAAAGCTGATTCGGAGAAGCAAATGATCGATCGAACAAAGCATTATGACCGATTAGAACAAGTTATGATCGATCAGAATCAAATTATGATCGATCAGAATGTATTTCAATCGATTAAAACGACGTTTCAATCGATTGATTTTATTTAAAACTTCATTCAATCGATTGATTCGTGTTTTCAATGGATTGAAATAGCTTAATGAAGTATGACAGCTCTCTGTTTCAATCGATTAAAAAACCTTTCAACAGATTGAAATCCTGTAGACTCTTAGTCAGAAAAATAGTCTCTCTGTTTTAACAGATCGAAAAGTATTTCAACATATTGAAGTTTTGAAAAACACTTAGACTGAAAAAATAGTCTCTCTGTTTCAACAGATTAAAAAACATTTCAACAGATTGAAAATGCGAAACCTTTAATACATGAAAAATCATTAAGACATTTTAACCTGTTGATTCTGCGATTCAACCAATTGAAAATTTCGACTGTATATGACCACTTCTTATGTTAAGTGATTTTAACAGATTGAAATTTCTTTTCATCAGATTGAAAAACTTAGTTTGTTCTTTTAATGCTTAAATGTTAGTTTTTCATGCAGAAAAATGATTTCAATGAGATGCATCATTTTAAGGCGCTTATCACAAGATTTATTGGCCTATCAAGAGATTAAGTTCTAAACTTCTAACCTATTTATCTACACACCCACAAACTAAACTATATCAACTCAATATGTTTTCATCAAATCCACCAAGTGCTTCAATCTCCCCCTATTTGATGGAGACAAATATCCACTCGCACTCGCACAATTCAATAACGAGAATAGAGACATATATGATTTGTGGTGTGTGTGTAGTGACAGTTTTAAGCAAACACTTCTCCCCCTATTTGATCGCATCAAATAAAGTGTTTCGATTATGAGTCCAATAGTACCACATAGGTACCCAAAATAAAAAGAAAAGAAACAAGATAAAGAAATAAGAAAAAATAAGACTTCATTCATCCCTGTTCCGGGACCTTGATTAAGCTGCAGATCAACAATCCTGTTGTAGATATCTTACAATTGATTGTCAATGTGTTGAAATCGGCAATGAAATTTTCATCCGAGATAATGTCGACGAGCCGCAGAGCGACCGTCATCTCCATGTGCCTCCTTTGATTGGTTTGCAGTTCATTCATCTGATGTAGCATGGTTCTTTCGAACTGTGAGAGAGGCGTGCCACGGTCAGGTTGTGGAATATATGGAATCATTTCTAATGGACACTGCTCTTCCATCGAGTCTGATGATCTTGCTGCAGAAGTACCCGGGACACCAGTATTGACATCTTCCTCTTGCTCTTCTTCTTAAATTTCTTCTTTTCTTCCTGCTTCTTCTTTGGAAATCCATTCACCGTCAATTTTAATGAACCCCATTTTATGAAGGACAGAATTATTGACCTCATTTGTTGGACGAACAGTTTCAACTGATTCACCTTCCAAATCAACACCAAAATGAGTTAAAAACTTAGAAATCAATATAACATAAGGATATCTAAAATCAATTAGCCGCTTAGCTTTGATCATGTGGTCCTTGATGACAAAAACCCAGTTCACCCTTATTCTGTGGTGAATGCAGTACATCAGTATCAAATCTCCTTCATTTAGTACTGCATGATTGCTCCCCCTGGGTGTGAGCTGCCAGGACATAATGAACGCGAGTACCCTTTCCTCAAGCTTCAACTTTCCAGTGTTGAAGGAACTTACTGAGTCATGCCTATTCTTCGAGACAAGAACGAAAGTACTCGAACTTTGTTAAATTCTTCTACTTCCGAGGTATACCCTTTGGTGACTTTTACACCTTCATCCTTGAGTCCAAGCAACCTCTTTCCGAGACATTGGGAGTAATTTCAATGTCCACTCCTTTGACTTGAGTTTTTAGAGTAGACCCTTCAAATGACAAGTTGGTGAAAAAGACTTTAATCGAGTCGGGATGAATCCTACTATTGAGCTCCGAAACTTCGAAGTTTCGATGTTGCGATAGTTTCCGAACCCCTCCGAAACCTTCGACATCTAACCATGAAAATTTTAGAACCTTGGGTATATTGATTTGTTTCCTGCTCATTTCATGAATGAACAAATCCATCTTCTCTTGGTTCCCGTTGAACCATGATTCAATGCGCCCTCCTACCGATGGTTCTTGCATTGCGGCAGAGGACTCTCCTTTGTCGAACTTCTTCCTTCCGGATTTGGTGCGTTTGAGCATGCTCGATTTGTGGAATGAACGAAGAAAAACAGAGAAGAGGGAATGTTTCACGAGGAAAAGTATAAGCTTTTCAAACACAATCGTATTCTTAAGATGAAATGAGAACACACGGTCCCTTCATCTTCACGGTTTTGTCTTTAATGTATTATCGCTTCTCGCTTCAGCAGTAGTGATGGTAAAGGTGGAGAGAGAGAGAATTGTTACTGTGCACCTTAATTACCCTCACATCTGATACCCAATCAGAGTCAATCAGCTTTTATTTGATAACTCTGATATTTAAGAGAGGAGTTGAAGGATATCCCGTTGTAAATGCATTCAACCCAATCTGCAGTAATTGTTTAGAGGCAGAGCATACACTACTATCCCTAGAAAAAATTAACCAATTGATTTTTCTTGAAATCAATTGTTTTTGCAATTGCAGATTATCAGAAGTGAATTAAATCGATTGAATCGAAGATTTAATCGATTGATTTATAGAAGAAAAACATGTAGAGCTACAAGGTTATTGAAATAAATCGATTAAAACCTCATTTAATCGATTGAACTGGTAACATATCATGAACAAAGATAGAGAATCAGAAAATCAACAAATTATTTCGCAATTTCAATCGATTAATACAAATAATTTCAAGATTTTCAGACAATTTTAATCGATTGAACATGTTATCAACCTGTTTTTAAAAAAATCATAATCACCATAAAAAATCAGTTATTCAATACTAGTTATATCCAGAATTCCTAATTCAGTTCTAAGCATATTAAGTCTATCTCTAGGAAGTGGTTTAGTGAATAAGTCGACTTAACCTGTTTTTCAGATTCAATGAATAAAATTTCACAATCACCCCTAGATACATGTTCTCTAATAAAGTGATGTCTAATTTCAATATGCTTAGTTCTAGAGTGTTGAATAGGATTCTTAGTCGATTTATTGCACTAGTATTATCACAAACCGGAGGTACCGTGTTAAGAGCCACTCCATAATCTTTCGGTTGTTGTTTAAGATAGATACTCCGAGCACAACAACTCCCAGCTGCAATGTATTCAAGCTTACGCAGTTGAAAGAGCAACACATGCTTGCTTTTTGTTGTGCCAAGATATGAGACTGCTTCCCGAGTAAATGACATGTACCGGAGGTACTTTTCCTGTCCAATCTACATCCTGCAAAGTCGAATCGAGAAAATCCAACAAGTTTAAGAGATGCACCTTCAGGATACCATAGTCCGACATTAACGGTTCCTTTAAGGTATTTCAGAATCCTTTTAGCAGCGGTAAGATGTGATTCCTTTGGATTTGCCCGAAATCTAGCACAAAGGCACACACTAAACATAATGTCGGACCTACTAGCGATCGGATATAGCGAGAGAACCAATCAAACCTCTATATTTAGTTTGATCAACAGATTTCCCTTTTTCATCTAAATCTAGACAGCAATTAGTAGACATGGGTGTAGAGGATTCTTTGCAATTGTGCATATCAAACTTCTTCAACAACTTATTGCAGTATTTAGATTGACTTAGAAAAATGCCATTTCTTAATTGCTTAACCTGGGGACCAAGGAAGAAATTCAATTCTCCCATCATAGACATCTCAAATTCACTTTGCATTTCCTTAACAAACTTATTACACAAGGCATTATTAGTAGAACCGAAAATGATATCATCAACATACACCTGCACTAGAATAATGTCAGTTCCAGATTTCTTAATGAATAAGGTTTTATCAACTTCACCTCGTTTGTATCCTTGATCAATTAAGAAGTTACTTAACCTCTCATACCATTGTCTAGGAGCTTGCTTTAAACCATAAAGAGCCTTTTTCAATTTGTAGACATGGTCAGGATGCTTGTGATTTTCAAAACCAGGGGTTGAGAAACATAAACTTCTTCATTGATGAGTCCATTTAGGAAGGCACTCTTGACATCCATCTGTAGTAATCTGAAACCACTTATACAAGCATAAG